CGATCTCAGTCAGTCAAGCCATGGCACCTGCTGGGTCTGTCCTGTGACCTGCTCCTGCACCTAGCCTGGCACAGCAGTCAAGCCATGGCATCTGTAGGGTCTGTCCCGTGACCTCCTCCTGCTCCTGCACCTAGCCTGGCACAGCAGTCAAGCCATGGCACCTGCAAGGTCTAGCCCGTGACCTCCTCCTGCTCCTGCACCTAGCCTGGCACAGCAGTCAAGCCATGGCATCTGTAGGGTCTAGCCCGTGACCTCCTCCTCCTCCTGCACCTAGCCTGGCACAGCAGTCAAGCTATGGCATCTGTAGGGTCTGTCCCGTGACCTCCTCCTCCACCTAGCCTGGCACAGCAGTCAATCCACGGCACCTGCAGGGTCTGTCCCGTGACCTCCTCCTCCTCCTGCACCTAGCCTGGCACAGCAGTCAACCCATGGCACCTGTAGGGTCTGTTCCGTGACCACCTTCTCATGCATCTAGCCTGGCACAGCAGTCAACCCACGGCACCTGTAGGGTCTAGCCCGTGACCTCCTCCTGCACCTAGCCTGGCACAGCAGTCAACCCATGGCACCTGTAGGGTCTGTCCCGTGACCTACTCCTGCACCTAGCCTGGCACAGCAGGCAACCCATGGCACCTGCAAGGTCTAGCCCGTGACCTCCTCCTGCACCTAGCTTGGCACAGCAGTCAAGCCATGGCACCTGCAGGGTCTAGCCCGTGACCTTCTCCTGCACCTAGCCTGGCACAGCAGGCAACCCATGGCACCTGCAAGGTCTAGCCCGTGACCTCCTCCTGCACCTAGCTTGGCACAGCAGTCAAGCCATGGCACCTGCTGGGTCTAGCCCGTGACCTCCTCCTGCACCTAGCCTGGCACAGCAGTCAAGCAATGGCACCTGCAGGGTCTGTTGTGTGACCTCCTCCTGCACCTAGCCTGGCACAGCAGTCAACCCACGGCACCTGCAGGGTCTGTCCTGTGACCTCCTCCTGCACCTAGCCTGGCACAGCAGTCAACCCACGGCACCTGCAGGGTCTGTCCTGTGACTTCCTCCTGCACCTAGCCTGGCACAGCAGTCAACCCACGGCACCTGCAGGGTCTGTCCCGTGACCTCCTCCTGCACCTAGCCTGGCACAGCAGTCAACCCACGGCACCTGCAGGGTCTGTCCCGTGACCTCCTCCTGCACCTAGCCTGGCACAGCAGTCAACCCACGGCACCTGCAGGGTCTGTCCCGTGACCTCTTCCTGCACCTAGCCTGGCACAGCAGTCAACCCACGGCACCTGCAGGGTCTGTCCTGTGACCTCCTCCTGCACCTAGCCTGGCACAGCAGTCAACCCACGGCACCTGCAGGGTCTGTCCTGTGACCTCCTCCTGCACCTAGCCTGGCACAGCAGTCAACCCACGGCACCTGCAGGGTCTGTCCTGTGACCTCCTCCTGCACCTAGTCTGGCACAGCAGTCAACCCACGGCACCTGCAGGGTCTGTCCTGTGACCTCCTCCTGCACCTAGCCTGGCACAGCAGTCAACCCACGGCATCTGCAGGGTCTGTCCTGTGACCTCCTCCTGCACCTAGCCTGGCACAGCAGTCAACCCACGCACCTGCAGGGTCTGTCCTGTGACCTCCTTGCACATCGATTTGGTATTGGTGTACTATGTATACATATCACACCGATTTGGTATTGGTGTACTATGTATACATATGACATGGATTTGGTATTGGTGTACTATGTATACATATCACACCGATTTGGTATTGGTGTCCCATGTATACGTATCCGTGTGTTTGTATGTGCATGTTCACGCATGTGAGTGTGTGTGTATCATGGGTACAGGTGGTGTAGTGGTTATCGAACTCCGCTACAAACTCGGCGTTTCCCGTGTTCGAGTCCGGCTCACGGCCGTCATCGGTGACGATTATCTTAAGCGGTAATGAGCCTCCTTTAGGTGAACTCAGCCTCAAATTATCACGCGATTCCATGTGCGAACATCGATACTAAGAAAGAGACAAAGGCGGCCGGGCGTGGGGCTGACCACAACGCCACCTCGCGTGCTGTGCCGGCCTTCATAGGTGCTACTCTCACCTCCGATGAGCATGGTTGGGGCCATGTACGGTGCGAAAGAAGTTCAAAGTACGGTACATTACTCGCGAACAGCACTCTCCCCAAAACGACGTCTTTGTCTTTGTGAGACACAGGGACACGGGAGGCGTGAATGATGAAACGGACACGACTATTCATTGTTCCATTGTGTATTAATAAAAGTGTTTCGACTCATCCTACATCGCTCTCTCCTCTCTACCCCCTCTCCCCTCTCTCTCTCTCTCGCGAGCTCTCCTCTCATCTCTCTCTCTCTCCACTCTTTCCTTTTTTTAAATCCTTTATATTAAGTTCGCTTGCGTGCTTGCTTGCGTGCTTGCGTGCTTGCTTGCTTGCTTACGACCGTGCAAATCTTTCGGTCGTTTTTTAACCCACTTCCCGTGATCCAATCGAGCTGACATTTTGCACACAGACTCGTTGTGCGAGACAATTAATGTTCGTGAAATTTTTTTCCAAAATTTTACACTGTTTAGGGAAAATAAATTAAATATTTAATTACCAATTGTTTAATAATGCAGACAATCATCTGACCCATAGGTGGCAGCCATCTCAAGCCAGAGGACGAGAGGACTCTAGCCGCCACGCATATAAAGATTTATAGTGAAAAACTTTGTTTTTACGGGTTAATTTTTTTACTTTGCTTCATGTAAACCCTCACCTCTCGCTCATTCTCTCGCTCACTCTCTCGATCTTTCTCGTTCTGCACGCAGCCCTTCTCGCAGTCCGACGGCCTCCGACGGGTAGCTCATATCAGCATGCAGAGCTCCCCGTCATCTGCCACCGAGCACACGGCCTCCTCCATCGTCCACTGCTCCTTGAAGGCCGGCACGGCGTGGGTCTCTCTCCCCTATCTCTCTCTCCTCTCTCCCCTCTCTCCTCTCTCTCCCCTCTCTCCCCTCTCTCCTCACTCCCTCTCAGTGCAGTCACCGTCAGTGGCACGCACCGTGCGCTTCCAACACAGATTGTCCCTCTGCACTGTCGATGTCCTGTGATTAGATGCCTCTGTATGCATGCACAGCGGTCATTGGTGTTCCTATGTCTATGCGCTGTGATCAGAAATGTCCCTCTGTAAGTTGCGCTCAAAGGTGCCTGTATATGTCTCTCTGTAGATGCCTGTATATGGCCATGTCTGTGTCTATGGGTGTCCTTCTGTGCGTAGTGCCGAGTCACACGGAGACAGAGGCCGGGAACGGCGGAGCCTTTAACTGAGACAGGGACACGTGGCCTGGGACACGTGGCCTGGGACACGTGGCCTGGGACACGTGGCCTGGGACACGAGGCCTGGGACACGTGACCTGGGACACGTGGCCTGGGACACGTGGCCGGGGACACGTGACTAGAGACACGAGGCCTGGGACACGTGGCCTGGGACACGTGGCCTGGGACACGTGGCCGTGGACAAGGGGCCTGGGACACGTGGCCGGGGACACGTGGCCGGGGACACGTGGCCTGGGACACGTGGCCTGGGACACGTGGCCTGGGACACGTGGCCTGGGACACGTGGTTAGGGACACGTGGTCTGGGACACGTGGCCTGGGACACGTGGTTAGGAACACGTGGCCTGGGACACGTGGCCTGGGACACGTGGCCTGGGACACGTGGCCTGGGACACGAGGCCTGGGACACGTGGCCTGGGACACGTGGTTAGGGACACGTGGTCTGGGACCCGTGGTCTGGGACACGAGGCCTGGGACACGTGGCCTGGGACACGTGGTTAGGGACACGGGGCCTGGGACCCGTGGTCTGGGAAACGAGGCCTGGGACACGTGGCCTGGGACACGTGGCCTGGGACACGTCGCCTGGGACCCGTGGCCTGGAACACGTGGTCTGGGACACGTGGCCTGGGACACGATGGCCTGGGACACGTGGTCTGGGACACGTGGCCTGGGACACGTGGCCTGGGACACGTGGCCTGGGACACGTGGCCTGGGACACGTGGCCTGGGACACGTGGCCTGGGACACGTGGCCTGGGACACGTGGCCTGGGACACGTGGCCTGGGACCCGTGGCCTGGGACACGTGGCCTGGGACACGTGGCCTGGGACACGTGGCCTGGGACACGTGGCCTGGGACACGTGGCCTGGGACACGTGGCCTGGGACACGTGGCCTGGGACACGTGGCCTGGGACACGTGGCCTGGGACACGTGGCCTGGGACACGTGGCCGGGAACACGTGGTTAGGGACACGTGGCCTGGGACACGTGGCCTGGGACACGAGGCCTGGGACACGTGGCCTGGGACACGTGGCCTGGGACACGTGGCCTGGGTCAAGGAGCCCGGTCCCGTAGGTTGCGCAACCATTGCACATGGGGTCACAGCGCATGCGGAGGCGTCTGACCCCCGAGTGCGATGCCGTGCCTCGGTGTCTGTGAGTCTGTCTGTCCCCGTCTTTCCCGTGCCCACGTGTCCCCACGTGAATGCGCTCACGTGTGTCGGTGAGTACCGTGCATCCGTGTGCCCGTGCTCCTATGTGCGCGCGTCTGTGGCACCCGTGTGCATCCCCTGTGTGTGTCACCCGCATCTCCCCCCATTTGTCTCCCTTGTCTCCCTGTGTGTGTCACCCCCGTATCTCACCCCATGTGTCTCCCGCGTCTCCCGGTGTGTGTCACCCCCGCATCTCCCCCCATGTGTCTCCCGCGTCTCCCGGTGTGTGTCACCCCCGTATCTCCCCCATGTGTCTCCCGCGTCTCCCGGTGTGAGTCCCCCGTATCTCCCCGTGTCCCCGTGACCAAACCCTGGTGTGTCTTCCCTCCTGAAGTGTTCCACCCTCACCCACCGGATGTCCACCCCCCCACCGGATGTCTCCCCTCCCCACCGGATGCCCCCCCCCCACCGGATGTCTCCCCTCCCCACTGGATGTCCCCCCCCCCACCGGATGCCCCCCCCCCCCCCCACCGGGTAACTCCGCCCCCATTCACGCCGCGCGTCGCCGCCTCTTCCCGTAGGTGGCCGATCCCACGTCGGTGCGTGGGGAGTCTCCGCTGGCTCGGCTGCGACTCATCATGGACACGAGCCGCTGGATGGCGCACGTGGAGGCCTTGCACTCGCGCTTGTCCAGCGTGGGGGTGCTGGGGGGAGGGGCAGGGGGGGGGGCAGGGGGGGGCAGGGGGGGTGGGGGTTCGGTAGGGGTCATCATCGTCGACAGCGTCGTCATCATCGTCAGCAGCAGCATCGTCAGCAAAATCATCGGCAGCATCATCATCAGCAGCGTTGTCAGCAAAATCATCATCAACAGCATCGTCAGCGGAAGCATGCATTGTCAGCAAAATCATCGGCAGCAGCATCATCATCAGCAGCATTCTCAGCAAAATCATCGGCAGCGTCATCAGCAGCAGCAGCATCATCATCAGCAGCATTGTCAGCAAAATCATCGGCAGCGTCATCATCATCATCATCAGCATTGTCAGCAAAATCATCGGCAGCGTCATCATCATCATCATCAGCATTGTCAGCGGAATCATCGGCAGCGTCATCATCATCATCATCAGCATTGTCAGCAAAATCATCGGCAGCGTCATCATCATCATCAGCAGCATTGTCAGCAAAATCATCGGCAGCATCATCATCATCAGCATTGTCAGCAAAATCATCGCCAGCGTCATCATCATCATCAGCAGCATTGTCAGCAAAATCATCGGCAGCGTCATCATCATCATCAGCAGCATTGTCAGCAAAATCATCGGCAGCGTCATCATCATCATCAGCAGCATTGTCAGCAAAATCATCGGCAGCGTCATCATCATCATCATCAGCATTGTCAGCAAAATCATCGGCAGCGTCATCATCATCATCAGCAGCATTGTCAGCGGAAGCATCGTCAGTATTTAGAAAAGAAGAATCGTTATCAGTATCATCATTATCATCACCAGCAGCACCATCAATAATTGTTATCATCATCAGCAGCATCATCATCACCAGCAGCATCGTCAGCGGAAGCATCATCATCACCAACATCATCAGCAGCAGCATCATCAGCAGCACCATCATCATCAGCATTATCATCAGCAGCATCATCGTACGTAGCCAAGCGTTCTAATGACTAGAATCATTGTCATCAGCATCATCATCAGCATCACTATAGCAGCGCCGTTGTGGCCATACAAACCAAACTATGGACCGACCCTATAGTAAAACCATGGAGACCCATCTCGATACATCGGTGTTTTATGAAGATGGACCCAATCATCATCACAACAATCATCACAAAAGTCATCACCACCACCACCACTACCATCATCACAACCACCACCACAATACTCATCACCACCACCACCACTACCATCATCATTACAACAACAATCATCACAATACTCATCACCACTACCACTACCATCATCACAACAATCATCACACAAGTCATCACCACTACCACCACCACTACCACCACCACTACCATCATCATCACAACAATCATCACACAAGTCATCACCACTACCACCACCACTACCACCACCACTACCATCATCATCACAACAATCATCACACAAGTCATCACCACCACCACGACTACCATCATCACAACCACCACCACAATACTCATCACCACCACCACCACTACCATCATCATTACAACAACAATCATCACAATACTCATCACCACTACCACTACCATCATCACAACAATCATCACACAAGTCATCACCACTACCACCACCACTACCACCACCACTACCATCATCATCACAACAATCATCACACAAGTCATCACCACTACCATCACCACTACCACCACCACTACCATCATCATCACAACAATCATCACACAAGTCATCACCACCACCACCACTACCATCATCACAACCACCATCACAATACTGATCACCACTACCACCACCACTACCATCATCATCACAACAATCATCACACAAGTCATCACCACTACCACCACCACTACCACCACCACTACCATCATCATCACAACAATCATCACACAAGTCATCACCACCACCACCACTACCATCATCACAACCACCACCACAATACTGATCACCACTACCACCACCACTACCATCATCATCACAACAATCACCACAATACTCATCACCACTACCATCATCACAACCACCACCACAATACTCATCACCACTGCCACCACCACGATCATCACAACAATCATCACAAAAGTCATCACCACTGCCACCACCACTACCATCATCACAACCACCACCACCACAATACTCATCACCACTGCCACCACCACGATCATCACAACAATCATCACAATACTCATCACCACTACCACCACTACCATCATCACCACAACAATCATCACAATACTCATCACCACTGCCACCACCACGATCATCACAACAATCATCACAAAAGTCATCACTACCACCACCACCACTACCATCATCACAACAATCATCACAATACTCATCACCACTACCATCATCACAACAATCATCACAAAAGTCATCACCACTACCACCACCACTACCAGCATCACAACAATCATCACACAAGTCATCACCACTACCACCACCACTACCATCATCACAACCACCTCCACAATACTCATCACCACTACCACCACTACCATCATCATCACAACAACAATCATCACAATACTCATCACCACTGCCACCACCACGATCATCACAACAATCATCACACAAGTCATCACCACCACCACTACCATCATCACAACCACCTCCACAATACTCATCACCACTACCACCACTACCATCATCATCACAACAACAATCATCACAATACTCATCACCACTGCCACCACCACGATCATCACAACAATCATCACGATACTCATTGCCACTATCACCAGTACCATCATCACCACAACAATCATCACAATACTCATCACCACTGCCACCACCACGATCATCACAACAATCATCACAATACTCATCACCACCACCACCACCATCATCACAACCACCACCACAATACTCATCACCACCACCACCACTACCATCATCACCACCACAATACTCATCACCACCACCACCACTACCATCATCACAACAACCACCACAATACTAATCACCACGACCAACCACTACCATCATCACACAACCACCACCACAATACTCATCACCACGACCAACCACCACCATGACAACCACAACAACCACAACAACCGCCACAACAACGCCCCCCCCACCCCCTACCTGGGCAGCCTGGCTCCAGGCTGCTCCTCCACTTGCGGCTCCATCCCTGCCGGCTCCAGGCCCAGCAGCTCCCTGACGATGGCTCCAATGAGCACGCGAGCCCCGAGTTCGCCTCGCTCCGGCAGTCCCACAAAGACCCCCTGGGACACCCCCTGGGACACCCCCACGGGGACCCCCTGGGGGACCCCCATGGGGACCCCCATGGGGACCCCCGATAGCCTGCAGGCCGCAGAGAGGGAGAGGGGGGGGGGCGTGTCGCATGACCTCGCGACCTCTCTTCAGATTGAAGGGGAGTCGCGGTGGCTAGGAGATGTTGACTACCTCGCCTGGTGTGCAGGAGATGTTGACTACCTCGCCTGGTGTACAGGAGATGTTGACTACCTCGCCTGGTGTACAGGAGGTCGTGGGTTCCACCACCACCATCATCCTCACGGTGGCTAGGAGATGTTGACTACCTCGCCTGGTGTACAGGAGATGTTGACTACATCGCCTGGTGTACAGGAGATGTTGACTACCTCGCCTGGTGTACAGGAGATGTTGACTACCTCGCCTGGTGTACAGGAGATGTTGACTACCTCGCCTGGTGTACAGGAGGTCGTGGGTTCCACCACCACCATCATCCTCACGGTGGCTAGGAGATGTTGACTACCTCGCCTGGTGTACAGGAGATGTTGACTACATCGCCTGGTGTACAGGAGATGTTGACTACCTCGCCTGGTGTACAGGAGATGTTGACTACATCGCCTGGTGTACAGGAGATGTTGACTACCTCGCCTGGTGTACAGGAGATGTTGACTACATCGCCTGGTGTACAGGAGATGTTGACTACATCGCCTGGTGTACAGGAGATGTTGACTACCTCGCCTGGTGTACAGGAGATGTTGACTACATCGCCTGGTGTACAGGAGATGTTGACTACCTCGCCTGGTGTACAGGAGATGTTAACTACCTCGCCTGGCTCGGAGATGTTGACTACCTCGCCTGGCTAGGAGATGTTAACTACCTCGCCTGGTGTACAGGAGGTCGTGGGTTCGATCCCGACCCTGAGGATGTCTGCTGCTGTATATTTGGAGTTTGCGTGTCTCTCTCTCTCTCAGCATCATCACGGTGGCTATGAGATGTTAACTTCCTCGCCTGGCTGGGAGATGTTAACTACCTCGCCTGGTATGCAAGAGGTCGTGGGTTCGATCCCGACCCAGACGCCTGCTGTTGTATATTTGGAGTTTGCGTGTCCCTCAATCTCTCTCATCATCATCACTGTGGCTAGGAGATGTTGACTACTTCGCCTGGTGTACAGGAGGTCGTGAATTCGATCCCGACGCTGACGATGCCTACTACTGTATATTTGGAGTTTGCGTGTCTGTCTCTCTCATCATTATCACGATGGCTATGAGATGTTAACTACCTCGCCTGGTATACAGGATGTCGTGGGGTCGATCCCGACCCTGAGGATGCCTACTGCTGTATATTTGGAGTCTGCGTCTCTCTCTCTCATCATCATCACGGTGGCTAGGAGATGTTAACTACCTCGCCTGGCTAGGAGATGTTGACTACTTCGCCTGGTACACAGGAGGTCGTGGGGTCGATCCCGACCCTGACGATGCCTACTGCTGTATATTTGGAGTCTGCGTCTCTCTCTCTCATCATCATCACGGTGGCTAGGAGATGTTAACTACCTCGCCTGGTACACAGGAGGTCGTGGGTTCGATCCCGACGCTGATGATGCCCGCTGCTGTATATTTGGAGTCTGCGTCTCTCTCTCGTCATCATCACGGTGACTAGGATATGTTAACTACCTCGCCTGGTATACAGGAGATCGTGGGCTCGATCCCGACCCTGACGATGCCTGCTGTATATTTGGAGTCTGCGTCTCTCTCATCATCATCATCACGGTGACTAGGAGATGTTAACTACCTCGCCTAGTACACAGGAGGTCTTGGGTTCGATCCCGACGCTGATGATGCCCGCTGCTGTATATTTGGAGTCTGCGTCTTTCTCATCATCATCATCATGGTGGCTAGGAGATGTTGACTACCTCGCCTGGTGTACAGGAGGTCGTGGGGTCGATCCCGACCCTGATGCCTGCTATTGTATATTTGGAGTTTGCGTGTCTCTCAATCTCTCATCATTATCATGGTGGCTAGGAAATGTTAACTACCTTGTCTGGCTAGGATATGTTGACCACCTCGCCTGGTATACAGGAGGTCGTGCGTTTGATCCCGACGCTGACGATGCCCGCTGCTGTATATTTGGAGTCTGCGTCTCTCTCTCTCATCATCATCACAGTGGCTAGGAGATGGTGACTACCTCGCCTGGTATACAGGAGGTCGTGGGTTCGATCCCGACCCTGACGATGCCTGCTGTATATTTGGAGTCTGCGTCTCTCTCATCATCATCATCACGGTGGCTAGGAGATGTTAACTACCTCGCCTGGCTAGGAAATGTTAACTACCTCGCCTGGTATACAGGAGGTCGTGGGTTCGATCCCGACCCTGACGATGCCTCCTGTATATTTGGAGTCTGCGTCTCTCTCATTATCATCATCATCATCACGGTGGCTAGAAGATTTTAACTACCTCGCCTGGTGTACAGGAGGTCGTGGGTTCGATACCGACCCTGACACCTGCTGCTGTGTATTTGGAGTTGGCGTGTCTCTCTCTCTCATCATCACGGTGGCTAGGAGATGTTAACTACCTCGCCTGGTATACAGGAGGTCGTGAGTTCGATCCCGACCCTGACGATGCCTGCTGTATATTTGGAGTCTGCGTCTCTCTCATCATCATCATCACGGTGGCTAGGAGATGTTAACTACCTCGCCTGGTATACAGGAGGTCGTGGGTTCGATCCCGACGCTGATGATGCCCGCTGCTGTATATTTGGAGTCTGCGTCTCTCTCTCTCTCTCGTCATCATCACGGTGACTAGGAGATGTTAACTACCTCGCCTAGTATACAGGAGATTGTGGGCTCGATCCCGACCCTGACGATGCCTGCTGCTGTATATTTGGAGTCTGCGTCTTTCCCTCTCTCATCATCATCACGGTGGCTAGGAGATGTTAACTACCTCGCCCGGTGTACAGGAGGTCGTGGGCTCGATCCCGACCCTCACGTCCGACGCTTTCTCCGGACCCTCCAGTTTTGTTTTGCCGCCTCCACATCTTTAAACATTTGGCTGCTGCTGCTGCTGCTGCTGCTATGAATTTCCACGCGACGACAAGCCTCTTCGCTGGGCTATCAAGTTGTGATACGCCGGGTCGCTTCCGAAAAAGAGCTACGGAGCTCAGTGGGATCTTCCCTGGTCAAATAAAAATAGCGAATAGTTTTGTACAGATTCCCAGATAAAATGTACGCCGATTGTCCAGTAGCGTTTACCAGATCGTGCATTACCCGAGATACAGATATTGCCACACATCTATATAGCCACGCCTCTATGTATACTATGAGACACCTCCTTTACCAGTGGCAAAATATAGTGGTAGGTTTTTACCCTTTAAACTGGTACAAAACCTGACACCTTTATACAAGGCATCATGTTTGCAATAACCACAACACAAGCAGTCAAAATGCAAACTGAAATAAACAATATCATACCATTATCATCATCAGAGTTGTTTCTTTTTGTTTGCATTTTGACTGCTTGTGTTGTGGTTATTGCCAACATGATCCCTTGTATAAAGGTGTCAGTTTTTGTACCAGTTGAAAGGGTAAAAACCTACTACTATGCCTCTATGTATCTTTAGGTATGTCTATATATATTGCCAGCCATCTATATAGCCACACGTCTATAGGTATGTCTATACATATAACCACATGTATATTTCTGTATCTATAGACACAGCCACACATATACGTAGCCACATCTATAGACATATCGATATGTATCTATAGAGATATCCACACGTCTATACAGTGACACGTCTTTAGGTACAGTAGAAGCTCGGAGATCGAACGCATCAGAACTCGAACAAATCGGTGTTCGAACGATATTTCCGAACATTTTTTGGCCAGGAAACCGAACGAAATTCGGAGGTCGAACGGGGCAATCGCGACTTGAAATAACCTGTACGGCTGAGACGCGTATGGCTCAGCGTGCATGACGCTTGCCCAGACAAAGGTTTTACCGTGTGAGAGGCTCAGTTAAAAATATCACCCAGATAAAGCAGTAGCAGCCAACCCGGTGAGCAATCTTTGTAATGATAATACAACGTGTCATTTTCGAAACATTCTAAAACGGAGGCAGAAACAAACTTCTTAAGATGAGTTTTTAGTCAGCAAGAGCTGAAGTGACTCACAGTTCATCTTCTTGGTTCTTTCGGTAAAGTCACGTAGAAGGGAAATAATTAAATAATAAAATTTAACATAATAAAATAATTCTCACGACGTTTCGGCCACAACGCAAGCAGCCGTCCGCAGGTGAAGAACATGTCTGTCGGAAAGACAGCGTCTGAATGAACAGGTCTGTCGAGAAGACAGAGTCAGACTCTGTATTTCCGAAAGACCTGTTCTTCACCTGAGGACGGCTGCTTGCGTTGTGGCCGAAACGTCGTGAGAATAATTTAATTGGTTTATTTTTATTATTTTATTATTTCCCTTCTACGTGACTTTACCGAAAGAACCAAGAAGATGAATCCCTGCAGTCACGAAAGCTTTAAATCGAAATTTTATTATGTTTTATTTTTATTATTTTATTATTTCCCTTCTACGTGACTTTACCGAAAGAACCAATAAGATGAATCCCTGCAGTCACGAAAGCTTTAAATCGAAATTTTATTATGTTTTATTTTTATTATTTTATAATTTTCCTTCTACGTGACTTTACCGAAAGAACCAAGAAGATGAATCCCTGCAGTCACGAAAGCTTTACATCGAAATTTGATTATGTTTTATTTTTATTATTTTATTATTTCCCTTCTACGTGACATTACCGAAAGAACCAAGAAGATGAATCCCTGCAGTCACGAAAGCTTTAAATCGAAATTTTATTATGTTTTATTTTTATTATTTTATTATTTCCATTCTACGTGACTTTACCGAAAGAACCAATAAGATGAATCCCTGCAGTCACGAAAGCTTTAAATCGAAATTTGACTCACAGTTAGTAGCAGAAGAGAGACACAAAGAGAGAGAAGCGACATTATTATGGAAGGGGACTTCCCTTCCAGACAATAACACTACCACCATCACCTCTTCCTCCTCATCACCACCTTCCACTCAAACCATCAACTCTCCTTAGTGAAGTTCAATGTTCTTTTATTTCATTTATCCCATACATTTATTCATTTTCTCCATTTTTTATTGTGTTGTTTTTTTTGGTATGATTTTATGCATGTATTTACCGTAAACTTCGTGTAAAAATGCTTCATAATGAGAGATTTCGTGTGTCTGGAACCAGTTAATGTCATTTACATTCATTCTTATGGGGAAAATGTATTCGGTATTCGAACAAATCGATGTTCGAATGGCCTTCTGGAACGAATTAAGTTCGATCTCTGGGGTATCACTGTATATCTTTATTGCCACACATCTGTAGGTATGTCTATAGACATAGCCACACGACTATATAGCCACACATAGGCGTTTCGATAGGTCTAGGTGGCCGTCCATAAATGACGTCACGCACCTATGGGGGGGGGGGGAGTTGGACATTTGTGACGATGTGTGACGAGGAGGGGGGGGGGTGAGAAATGTGACGTCACACAAATGAAGCACGGGCAACGGGCACTCAATGTAGTGGGTAGGTGAGTGAGTGAGTGGGTAGGTGAGTTAGTGAGTAGGTGAGTTAGTGAGTGGGTGAGTGAGTAGGTGAGTGAGTGGGTGAGTCGGTGAGTTAGTGAGTGGGTAGGTGAGTGGGTGAGTAGGTGAGTAGGTGAGTGGGTGAGTGGGTGAGTTAGTGGGTGAGTAGGTGAGCTAGTGAGTGGATGAGTAGGTGAGTGAGTAGGTGAGCGAGTGGGTGAGTCGGTGAGTTAGTGAGTGGGTAGGTGAGTGGGTGAGTGGGTGAGTAGGTGAGTGGGTGAGTGGGTGAGTTAGTGGGTGAGTAGGTGAGCTAGTGAGTGGGTGAGTAGGTGAGTGAGTAGGTGAGCGAGTGGGTGAGTCGGTGAGTTAGTGAGTGGGTAGGTGAGTGGGTGAGTGGGTGAGTAGGTGAGTGAGTAGGTGAGTGAGTGGGCGAGTCGGTGAGTTAGTGAGTGGGTGAGTTAGTGGGTGAGTAGGTGAGCTAGTGAGTGGGTGAGTAGGCGAGTGAGTAGGTGAGTGAGTGGGCGAGTCGGTGAGTTAGTGAGTGGGTGAGTTAGTGAGTGGGTGAGTAGGTGAGTGAGTGGGTAAGTCGGTGAGTTAGTGGGTGAGTGGGTGAGTAGGTGAGTAGGTGAGTGAGTAGGTGAGTGAGTGGGCGAGTCGGTGAGTTAGTGAGTGGGTAGGTGAGTGGGTGAGTAGGTGAGTGGGTGAGTAGGTGAGTGGGTGAGTAGGTGAGTTAGCGAGTGAGTGAGTAGGTGAGTTAGCGAGTGGGTGAGTAGGTGAGTGGGTGAGTAGGTGAATTAGCGAGCGGGTGAGTATGTGAGTTAGTGAGTGGGTGAGTTAGTGAGTGGGTGTGTGGGTGAGTAGGTGAGTGGGTGAGTAGGTGAGTGGGTGAGTAGGTGAGTTAGCGAGTGAGTGAGTAGGTGAGTTAGCGAGTGGGTGAGTGGGTGAGTAGGTGAATTAGCGAGCGGGTGAGTATGTGAGTTAGTGAGTGGGTGAGTTAGTGAGTGGGTGTGTGGGTGAGTAGGTGAGTGGGTGAGTAGGTGAGTAGGTGAGTGGGTGAGTAGGTGAGTGAGTGAGTAGGTGAGTTAGTAGGTGAGTAGGTGAATTAGCGAGTGGATGAGTAGGTGAGTGGGTGAGTAGGTGAGTGGGTGAGGTGGTGAGTAGGTGAGTTAGTGAGTGGGTGAGTAGGTGAGTTAGTGAGTGGGTGAGTGGGTGAGTTAGTGAGTGACTGAGTAGGTGAGTTAGTGAGTGGGTGAGTAGGTGAGTTAGTGAGTGGGTGAGTAGGTGAGTTAGTGAGTGGGTGAGTGGGTGAGTTAGTGAGTGAGTGAGTAGGTGAGTGGGTGAGTAGGTGAGTGAGTGAGTAGGTGAGTGAGTAGGTGAATTAGCGAGTGGATGAGTGGGTGAGTTCTAGGACCTGACGGACCGCTGACCACAAAGCTGCTACGTCCACTCTCCCCCTCCCTCCTCCTCCCCTCCCCCACAAGTCTACACACGGGGGGGGGGGGGGGGGCTACACGGGGGGGGGGGGGGGGCTACACGGGGGGGCTACACGGAAGGGGGGCTACACGGGGGGTGGGGGGGGGGCTACTCTAACTCACCTGGCCGGGTAGGCGCGCGCGCACACGTGCGCCGAGAGGAGGGCGAGAACGAGGAGTAATGCGGCCGCCTTCCGAGAGCTCATCATGACGGCTGGAGAGGGGAGGGGGGAGGGGGGGGTGCACACATACACAGGTAAAGGCAAAGATCACCCGTATAGCCTCGGCGGGCTTCTCGGGGCAAAGTGCCGTTCGCGAGTTTGCAACGCGAAGTTCGCGGGTGGCGATGTTTTACGATATCGCCCAGGGTGACCCGGTCAACTCATTTGAGGCTGAGTCGACCTAGGGGCGAGGACCAGGACCGGTCGCCGGGTGCGTAGCGCAGCGTAGCGCGAACAGCTCCAATACGGGACCACACAAAGACAAAGGTCCCCCGTGTAGCCTTAACAGACTGTAGGGGCAAGTGCTGTTAACGAGCACCTATGAATGCCGGCACGGCACACGAGGGGGTGGGTGGCCAACACCACGCCCGGCCGCCTTTGTCTCCCTGTGACGATGTTTACACATCGCACCAGGTACTCATTTGAGGCTGAGTCGACCTAGGGGAGGCCCAGGACCGGTTCAGATAATCGTCACTGGGTGTTTGCCGCGAGCGGGAATCGAACCCGGGTCGCCAGGTTCGTAGCGCAGCGTAGCGCTAACCGCTACACTACCGCTCCCCACTACAGCAACACACACATAGCGTCACACACACACACACCACCACACACACACCCCACCACACACACACAGCGTCACACACACACAGCATCACACACACAGCGTCACACACACACACAGCGTCACACACACACACACCACCACACACACACCCCACCACACACACACAGCATCACACACACAGCGTCACACACACACATAGCGTCACACACACACACACCACCACACACACACCCCACCACACACACACAGCGTCACACACACACAGCATCACACACACAGCGTCACACACACACACAGCGTCACACACACACACAGCGTCACACAGTGTCACAGCGTCACACACACACACAGCAACACACATACACAGCGTCACACACAGTCACACACACAGCGTCACACACACAGCGTCACACACACACACAGCGTCACACAGTGTCACAGCGTCACACATACACACAACATTACACACACAGCGTCACTCACACACAGCGTTACACACACACAGCGTCACACACACACAGGTTCACACACACAGCGTCACACACACACACAGCGTCACACACACACACAGCGTCACACACACACAGCGTCACACACACACACACACCACCACACACACACCACCACACACAGCATAACACACACACAGCGTCACACACACACCACCACACACACACCACCACACACAGCAACACACACACACCACACACACAGCGTTACACACACACAGGATCACACACACAACGTCACACACACACACAGCGTCACACACACACACAGCGTCACACACACACAGCATCACACACACACAGCGTCACACACACACAGCAACACACACACACAGCGTCACACACACACAGCGTCACACACACACAGCGTCACACACACACAGCATCACACACACAGCGTCACACACACACAGCATCACACACACAGCGTCACACACACAGCGTCAGACACACAGTGTCACACACACACAGCGTCACACACACACAGCGTCACACACACACACAGCAACACACACACACAGCGTCACACACACACAGCGTCACACACACACAGCGTCACACACACAGCGTCACACACACACACAGCAACACACACACACAGCGTCACACACACACAGCGTCACACACAACGTCACACAAACACACACAGCGTCACGCACGGAGTGTGCCAAGCTGACCCGGCACGGGACTCGAAGTTGTGCAGGCTGCGTGCAGCAGCAGCAGGAGAAGCAGGCGGTGTGTGGACGCAGTAGGTGCAGTAGGAGCAGTAGAAGCAGTAGCAGCAGTAGGAGCAGCAGCAGCAGGCGGTGTGTGGACACAGTAGGTGCAGTAGGAGCAGTAGAAGCTGCAGCAGCAGCAGTAGCAGCAGCAGTAGGAGCAGCAACAGGAGCAGTAGAAGGAGCAGCAGCAGTAGCAGCAGTAAGGGCAGCAGTAGTAGTAAGGGCAGCAGTAGGAGCAGCAGCAGCAGGAGGAGGACGAGGCACGAAAGGTCCGGGTTAAGATCGCGGTGAGCTCCGCGTCTCCCTTTTAAAGGTGGAGTGCACGTGGGGGGGGGGGGGGGGGGGGCAAGCGTGGGGGGCAAGGGGGGGGGTGAACGGGGGGGGGGGGTAATCGAGGGGGGTTAACAAGGGGGGGAATGGGGTAAACGGGGAGGGGGGAGGGGTGCGTGGGCGCGGGGGGGTGTCAACACTTTGTTTTTATAGCCCCCAAAACTCCCCCCCCTGCACGCCCCTCCCCATGTTACACCCCCCCCCCCTTACCCCCCCTACCCCCCCCCCCCCACGCCCGCCCGCCCCTCCCCATATTACACCCCCCCCCTAACCCCCCCCTTACCCCCCCCTTACCCCCCCCCCAACGCCCACCCGCCCCCCCCGCCCCCCCCGCCCCCCCGCCCCCCGGAGGTGGTGACGTCAACACTTTTATAGCCGGGGGGGATTTTAGCGGATTTCACGAGAATCCGCGAGTCAAGAGGACGTCTGGTGGGACAGACGTCTCACGTGACAGGTGTCTGATGGGACAGGTGTCTGGTGGGACAGGTGTCTGGGGGGACAGGTGTCTCACGTGACAGGTGTCTGAGGGGACAGGTATCTGAGGGGACAGGTGTCTGGGGGGACAGGTGTCTGGGGGGACAGGTGTCTGGGGGGGACAGGTGTCTGATGAGACAGGTGTCTGGGGGGACAGGTGTCTGGGGGGACAGGTGTCTGAGGGGACAGGTGTCGGGGGGGACAGGTGTCTGGGGGGACAGGTGTCTGGGGGGACAGGTGTCTGAGGGGACAGGTGTCTGGGGGGACAGGTGTCTGGGGGGACAGGTATCTGGGGGGACAGGTGTCTGATGGGACAGGTGTCTGAGGGGACAGGTGTCTGGGGGGACAGGTGTCTGGGGGGACAGGTGTCTGGGGGGACAGGTGTCTGAGGGAACAGGTGTCTGAGGGGACAGGTGTCTGGGGGGACAGGTGTCTGGGTGGATAGGTGTCTGGGGGGACAGGTGTCTGGGGGGACAGGTGTCTGGGGGACAGGTGTCTGAGGGGACAGGTGTCTGGGGGACAGGTGTCTGGGGGGACAGGTGTCTGGGGGGACAGGTGTCTGAGGGGACAGGTGTCTGGGGGACAGGTGTCTGGGGGGACAGGTGTCTGGGGGGACAGGTGTCTGGGGGGACAGGTGTCTGATGGGACAGGTGTCTGGGGGGACAGGTGTCTGGGGGGACAGGTGTCTGAGGGGACAGGTGTCTGAGGGGACAGGTGTCTGGGGGGACAGGTGTCTGGGTGGACAGGTGTCTGGGGGGACAGGTGTCTGGGGGGACAGGTGTCTGGGGGGACAGGTGTCTGAAGGGACAGGTGTCTGGGGGGACAAGTGTCTGGGGGGACAGTTGTTTGGGGGGACAGGTGTCTGATGGGACAGGTGTCTGAGGGGACAGGTGTCTGGGGGGACAGGTGTCTGGGGGGACAGGTGTCTGGGGGGACAGGTGTCTGGGGGGACAGGTGTCTGGGGGGACAGGTGTCTGAGGGGACAGGTGTCTGGGGGGACAGGTGTCTGAGGGGAGAGGTGTCTGGGGGGACAGGTGTCTGGGAGGACAGGTGTCTGATGGGACAGGTGTCTGATGGGACAGGTGTCTGGGGGGACAGGTGTCTGGGAGGACAGGTGTCTGATGGGACAGGTGTCTGATGGGACAGGTGTCTGGGGGGACAGGTGTCTGATGGGACAGGTGTCTGGGGGGACAGGTGTCTGAGGGGACAGGTGTCTGATGGGACAGGTGTCTGATGGGACAGGTGTCTGGGGGGACAGGTGTCTGATGGGACAGGTGTCTGATGGGACAGGTGTCTGGGGGGACAGGTGTCTGATGGGACAGGTGTCTGGGGGGACAGGTGTCTGAGGGGACAGGTGTCTGATGGGACAGGTGTCTGGGGGGACAGGTGTCTGATGGGACAGGTGTCTGATGGGACAGGTGTCTGGGGGGACAGGTGCCTGGGGGGACAGGTGTCTGAGGGGACAGGTGTCTGAGGGGACAGGTGTCTGGGGGGACAGGTGTCTGGGGGGACAGGTGTCTGAGGGGACAGGTGTCTGGGGGGACAGGTGTCTGAGGGGACAGGTGTCTGACAGGTGTCTGAAGGGACAGGTGTCTGGTGGGACAGGTGTCTGACAGGTGTCTGAGGGGACAGGTGTCTGAGGGGACAGGTGTCTGAGGGGACAGGTGTCTGGGGGGACAGGTGTCTGAGGGGACAGGTGTCTGAGGGGACAGGTGTCTGGGGGGACAGGTGTCTGGGGGGACAGGTGTCTGGGGGGACAGGTGTCTGGGGAGACAGGTGTCTGATGGGACAGGTGTCTGGGGGGACAGGTGTCTGAGGGGACAGGTGTCTGATGGGACAGGTGTCTGATGGGACAGGTGTCTGAGGGGACAGGTGTCTGGGGGGACAGGTGTCTGACAGGTGTCTGATGGGACAGGTTTCTGGGGGACAGGTGTCTGGGGGGACAGGTGTCTGAGGGGACAGGTGTCTGAGGGGACAGGTGTCTGGGGGGACAGGTGTCTGGGGGGACAGGTGTCTGAGGGGACAGGTGTCTGAGGGGACAGGTGTCTGGGGGGACAGGTGTCTGGGGGGACAGGTGTCTGGGGGGACAGGTGTCTGAGGGGACAGGTGTCTGGGGGGACAGGTGTCTGAGGGGACAGGTGTCTGGGAGGACAGGTGTCTGGGGGACAGGTGTCTGGGGGGACAGGTGTCTGAGGGGACGGGTGTCTGAGGGGACAGGTGTCTGAGGGGACAGGTGTCTGGGGGGACAGGTGTCTGAGGGGACAGGTGTCTGGGGGGACAGGTGTCTGAGGGGACAGGTGTCTGGGGGGACAGGTGTCTGGGGGGACAGGTGTCTGAAGGGACAGGTGTCTGGGGGGACAGGTGTCTGAGGGGACAGGTGTCTGGGGGGACAGGTGTCTGGGGGACAGGTGTCTGGGGGACAGGTGTCTGAGGGGACAGGTGTCTGGGGGGACAGTTGTCTGGGGGGACAGGTGTCTGAGGGGACAGGTGTCTGGGGGGACAGGTGTCTGAGGGGACAGGTGTCTGGGGGGACAGGTGTCTGGGGGGGCAGGTGTCTGAGGGGACAGGTGTCTGAGGGGACAGGTGTCTGAGGGGACAGGTGTCTGGGGGGACAGGTGTCTGGGGGGACAGGTGTCTGAGGGGACAGGTGTCTGGGGGGACAGGTGTCTGAGGGGACAGGTGTCTGAGGGGACAGGTGTCTGAGGGGACAGGTGTCTGGGGGGACAGGTGTCTGGGGGGACAGGTGTCTGAGGGGACAGGTGTCTGAGGGGACAGGTGTCTGGGGGGACAGGTGTCTGGGGGGACAGGTGTCTGACAGGTGTCTGGGGGGACAGGTGTCTGAGGGGACAGGTGTCTGACAGGTGTCTGAGGGGACAGGTGTCTGAGGGGACAGGTGTCTGAGGGGACAGGTGTCTGACAGGTGTCTGAGGGGACAGGTGTCTGAGGGGACAGGTATCTGACAGGTGTCTGGGGGGACAGGTGTCTGAGGGGACAGGTGTCTGAGGGGACAGGTGTCTGGGGGGACAGGTGTCTGGGGGGACAGGTGTCTGGGGGGACAGGTGTCTGAGGGGACAGGTGTCTGGGGGGACAGGTGTCTGGGGGGACAGGTGTCTGGGGGACAGGTGTCTGGGGGGACAGGTGTCTGGGGGGACAGGTGTCTGAGGGGACAGGTGTCTGGGGGGACAGGTGTTTGAGGGGACAGGTGTCTGGGGGGACAGGTGTCTGAGGGGACAGGTGTCTTGGTGGACAGGTGTCTGAGGGGACAGGTGTCTGGGGGGACAGGTGTCTGGGGGGACAGGTGTCTGGGGGGACAGGTGTCTGAGGGGACAGGTGTCTGAGGGGACAGGTGTCTGGGGGGACAGGTGTCTGGGGGGACAGGTGTCTGAGGGGACAGGTGTCTGGGGGGACAGGTGTCTGACAGGTGTCTGAGGGGACAGGTGTCTGAGGGGACAGGTGTCTGGGGGGACAGGTGTCTGGGGGGACAGGTGTCTGGGGGGACAGGTGTCTGGGGGGACAGGTTTCTGACAGGTGTCTGGGGGGACAGCTGTTTGATGATTTCACAGCTGACGACACCTTGAGGTCTAAGTGTGTCGGGGGGGGGGGTAGGACACCCCCTCCCCCCAGGCCCCCCTAAAACCCTCAACAGGGCGGAGTGCAGGACCCGGGGCGAACCGTCTCGGCTAAACGGGAAGTGCAGGGTGCTTCAAAAAGATGTAAAACAATTTCGATTTAAAGCTTCTTTCGTGACTGCAGAGATTTATCTTCTTGGTTCTTTCGGTAAAGTCACGTGGAAGGGAAATAATAAAGTAATAAAAATAAAACATAATAAAATACATGTTAACACTTACATGGGTCTATAGTTTTTTAATGGGGAAAAAATAACGGATAATTCTACACTGTGACACGCTGACAAATGTGATGTTTAAACTTTCGCAAAGTCAAAGAGTCTCTTCTCACTTGTTCGCCATTGTTGTCAAGGCGCTCCTGGAATCTTTTCCAGGTGGTCTCCAGAGCCGGGAGAGCACATTTCTTGTGGTTTCGATGGAAATTTCTCAGAAGTGTTGACCTACTTATCACACGCTTTTATTGAACTCGCTCTGTCTGTTGTTCTCGTCGTCGTCGTTGTCATATCCTCAATTTTAACCCACTTCCCAATGTGGTATCGATTGCAAACTTGGTATACTTAAACATTTTGATTTAAAGCTTTCGTGACTGCAGGGATTCATCTTCTTGGTTCTTTCGATAAAGTCACGTAGAAGGGAAATAATAAAATAATAAAAATATCATTTACTTATGTCATACTGTTCTTGGCTGCTTGCGTTGTGGCCGAAACGTCGTGAGAATTATTTTATTATGTTTTATTTTTATTATTTTATTACTTCCCTTCTACGTGACTTTACCGAAAGAACCAAGAAGATTAATCCCTGCAGCCACGAAAGCTTTAAATCGAAATTTAT